TATTTTTTGTGGAGACAGGGTTTCCTACGTTGACCATACTGGTGTCGAACTTCTGGCCTTAAGTGATCCTCTTGCCATGTGCTGGGATGACAGGCATGTGCCACTGTTCCCAGTCTTTATTTTCTATGATATTATTTTATCTTCCAAATTACTACTACTATAGTAAATTGCTAATTTTAACTTCAGTACATTCTTAACCTTTTTATACCCCAGAATTCCTGAGAGTAACAACAAAGTTAAGTAACTTAATTTTGTTGGAGGAGAGGGATGGTGAGGCCTTGGCATAGTAACCATCTTTCATCCTGAAGTAGGACCCCTAACTTCTTTCAGGCTTCTGTCTCCATCTTCATTGCTATGAAAATCTCTGACTTAAAGTCTACATAACTAAGTAGTTGATGGCAACACTTAAAAGAAAGGGTGGTGGAATTGGTTTGAGGGGAAAAATTTGTTCAGACAGTAATACTCGTTGAAAATAAGCTTTTGATTGCCTGGAATAAAAAAATCTAGTAATTCCTGTTTTTGCGATTTGATGATTGTTAGGGTTTTTTTGTTGAAAATAATAGTAATGTAGTTATTTATTTCTTTACTCTTTCCCAAATTGTAGTTTTCTGTTGTATGGGACATTTCCCACCATGTTCTAGAAAAATATAGAAGAATTATTTCAGTAAATCTGAGGCATTGAATATTTGTTACAACTGTTAGCAATTTTATCAACTAAATCATATAAATATATGGGTGAGGGTCAACTTGCTATAAAAGTTACTAGAATTTGTTTTTAAATTATTTTAGCCCATTCATACTCTCTGTGTGTCTTTATGTCTCTCTAGTGTTGTTTTCTGTCTCAGCTAAGATAAATATGTGCCCCCTAAAACACTGAATTTTTCAAAATTACAGCTTAAAAATATAGTAGCAACTAGTAGATTTTATTAAAAATCAAAAAGTAATGGCCTGGCACAGTGGCTAATACCTGTAATCCCAGCATTTTGGGAAGGTGTGGTAGGCGGATCACGAGGTCAGTAGTTTGAGACCAGCCTGACCAACATGGTGAAACCTCATCTCTCCTAAAAATATAAAAATTAGCCAGGTGTGTTGGTGCACAGCTGTAATCCCAGCTACTGAGGAGGCTGAGGCAGGAGAATCTCTTGAACCTGGGAGACAAAGAGGTTGCAGTGAGCCAAGATCATGCCAGTGTGCTCTACTCTGGGCGATGGAGCGAGACTCTGTTTCCAAAAAATGAAAAAATAAAATGTAGAGGAAGAAAATGAAAATGTCTCATAATTCTACAATCTAATAAGTCCCCAGTGACTTTCATTTTAAGAAAGAATGCTTAGTACAGGAAAGTGGTTTGGAAAATTTCAACAGCACAGAAAGGTATTAAATGAAAAAACCTCTTTTCCTTGGCCCCATTCCCTAGAGGTAACTATTGTTAATAGATTCTTGTATGTCCTTTTGGGGAAAAAAATTTATGCATATTCCAGCCCAGTTTACACCCTGTTCTACACTTCTCTTTATACTCCTAACATTTCTTTTGGCATTTATTTCTGCATCAACACAAACAGATATCTCACTTTAAATGGATTCATAGTGTTCTGTTGTTTGGAAGAACTATATATGGAAGAACTATGTATCATTTCTAACTAGCTAAGTGACGGACTTTAAAGTTTTTCCAGCTGGACGCGGTGGCTCACGCCTGTAATGTCAGCACTTTGGGAGTCTGAGGTGGGCGGATCACAAGGTCAGGAGTTCGAGAGCAACATTTCCAACATGGTGAAACCCCGTCTTTTAAAAAAAAAAAAAAAAAAAAAAGTTTTTTTCAACTTTTTGCTATGAACAGCTTTGTGGTAGTGAATGTTATACATATAACTTGGTATCTTTTTTTTAAAATGTATCAGTAGAATAAGTTCATGTTGGCAAAATGACCTTCAGTGTGGTTGACATAACTCTTATTTCTACTGATAACGTTATGAGTGCATTTTAAATACATTTTAATACCTAATTTTAAATTATCTTTTCTAAAAGTATTTTTTTCTAAAAGTAGATATTGTTGTAAATAAGTACTTATTTGTTTTGTTTTCTTTTTGTTCTTCTGAGACAGAGTCTCACTCTGTCGCCCAGGCTGGAGTGCACTGGCACGATCTTGGCTCACTGCAATCTCTCCTTCCCAAGTTCAAGCAATTCTGCTTTAGCCACCGGAGTACCTAGGATTACAGGCATGTGCCACTCTGCCCAGTAATTTTTGTATTTTTAGTAGAGATAGAGTTTTGCCATATTAGCCAGGGTGGCCTCAAACCCCTGACCTAGGGTGAACTGCCCGCATTGGTGTCCCAAAGTGCTAGGATCACAGGCAGCAGTCACTGCGCTCAGCCTTTAGTTTTGTTTTTCCCTCTCCTTTCTCTTTTCTAGTTTACCATAGTAATTAATGGTAGATGTTGCGGGTTTTCTTGGAAGGTATTATTAAGATAACAGTTTCTAAAGACTGATAACAGTCTGACATGACAGATGACTGCTTGCAGTCACATTTTATACTTTGAACTGATGAAAACTGTTTCAAAAAGAAAAGAGAGTGAGGGTGAAAGAGGAGAGAGGTGAAGAGTGAAAAATTTTAGCAGTTATTTCTCTAGAAGGGAAAAAAGGAATGCTTTAGAAGATATTGAAGGAGGAATCAGGGTCTAGACTTCAGGCCCGCCTTCACCATCTGCCATGGAACCTTGATCCTAGTCAGTGTATCTATCTCCTTGGGCTTACTAATTTATAAAATGAGGTAGGTGGGGCAGGTATTATTCCCAGATTTTTTATTATGATGCGCCAGGCATGGTGGCTCATGCCTGTAATCCCAGCACTTTGGGAGGCCGAGACAGGGGACATACTGGAGGTCAGGAGTTTGAGACCAGTGTGGCTACCCTGTCTCTGCTAAAAATAGAAAAATCAGCCAGGTGTTGTGATGCATGCTTTAAATGCCAGCTACTCAGGAGGCTGGGGCAGGAGAATCCCTTGAATCTGGGAGGTGGAGGCTGCAGTGAGCCAATATCATGCCACTGCATTCCTGCCTGGGCGACACAGCAAGACTCCATCTCAAAAAAAAAGAAAGAAAAGAAAATGTGTAGCACTATATAAATGTAGGCTGGATGTGCTATTTTATTTCATACCCAAATAAAAATTGCCATTATTCCACATCCAAAACCTCCTATATTATACTAAACTCACTTGTTACTTTGAAAGATAATCATTTTTGATAATCAGCTGTACAAAGTAATGTTTACAGTATGAAATGTTTTCAAATGCCATTTTTCCAGAAACTCATCTTTGAATTAATAGGATATATTTAACTTTAAAGAATCTAATCTCAATCCTACCCCCAAACATATAGAACAGAATTTTATTTCAGAAGTAAAACACTAAAATAAGTATGGATACTAAATGTATCTGTAGGCAGACTGCTCCTAGTTCTTCTCCCCCTGTGCTAATCTAGATGTCTAGATGTACCTTTAAATCTGAGTCATTGAAACATTCTAGTATGTCTGACATAATCATTAATGTTATCTTTGAACACTGGTTATTCTACTCTATATCAGCTAGGCTACAAATGCTACTAGTCCTCAAGCATTTGGTATCTTAATCGTTGGAAAGTATTTGGGGCCTTTTTCAGAACTTTAACTATTTACCAAAGAGGCAACAATCAGTATTTACTGGCATTTAGTACTGGTGAGGCCTTTTACAAACTGAAATATATGGACACCATTTATAGTTCAAAATCTCTATTGTTACTATCTAACATCAGTAACATGTAACTTTTATTCTTCAGTAACTTGTTTTTAATTAGAAAGCCTTTTTTTACTGGAAAATTGTTAAATGGAATACTTATTCCAATGTTCATAAGTCTATTTTGTGTGCATAGTGAGCCTAGGTTTAGATGGAGATAGTCATTAGCATTGCTTGTAGCCTTACAGAGAAGGTTGTGCTTATAGTTGGGAAGTATAACTGCAAGAAACACAAGTGGATTAATATTTTAAAATATTTATTTACTATGTAGTAATTTGTGTGGTGGTTAAATCTGGTTTTGGACCAGAAACATGTAGCTCTGCCTGAAAGATGACAAGCAAGCTAGAAATGTGGTTACTTTACTCTTTTTTTTTTTTTTTTTGAGACGGAGTTTCGCTCTTGTTGCCCTGGCTGGAGTGCAATGGCGCGATCTCGGCTCACCACAACCTCCGCCTCCTGGGTTCAGGCAATTCTCCTGCCTCAGCCTCCTGAGTAGCTGGGATTACAGGCACGCGCCACCATGCCCAGCTAATTTTTTGTATTTTTAGTAGAGACGGGGTTTCACCATGTTGACCAGGATGGTCTCGATCTCTTGACCTCGTGATCCACCCGCCTCGGCCTCCCAAAGTGCTGGGATTACAGGCTTGAGCCACCACGCCTGGCCCGGTTACTTTACTCTTGCCATGTCACCCTACTCTCCAGCTTCCCATTAGAGGAACCAGATTTAAAAGTAGCACTGTATTTACTGTGTTCTGGCAGAGTAAAATAATGATAGTGGTGTATCATTGGAAATATGCAGTACTGGTTATTGTCAGTTTTTTTGCTAGAAAATGCTATAGGAAGAAATTATTCTCTTATAAGAATTTAACAGAAAAACATAGGACATTTGAAAAAGTGTGCCACAAAAGAACGTGAGTCACCATATGGAATCTAAAATCCCATACTTACTACAATTACATAATGTGGACAGTTTTAAAAACAGAAATTTAATACCTTATAGGAATTTGTCTTAGACACATTGTTTTTGAAAAATAGAAAATTTCCCTCTTTTCTGTTTTGTTGTTGTTCTTGCCTGTCTTCCCCATCACTTAGCAGAAAGAAAATACAACTCTCTCTCCTTTGCTAGTGCTTTTGGCCTCCCAGCATCTCTATTTTCTAATGGGTGTGAAATAGATACTTTTAAATGAATTGAAGTTTTAGCTCATGTTATTTGAAGCAGCTTTTGAGTTTTTAGTATTTGTTTTGTAGGGAGTCTATGTTTGTAGATGATTTGTTTGTAATTGTGAATTAACTTTACTAAGATACAACACAACTGCACATTGTCAAGCAGTAACATTACTAAAATAAGTTGCTACCAATTTTATCTTTACATTTTCCAGTTTGTGGTTAAATTTATGAGAGGTAGAATGGTACACTAGAAGGAGCATTATAATTGGGAAGCTGTGCAGTCTTGCGTCAGATAACCTAAACTCTCTAGGCTTTAGCTTGAATGGTTGCTAATTGTCATAACTTAAAAAATATATTATCAGTAAAGTTAACCTAATATAGTATATGATGCTTCAGTAGCATTTTAATTTTTCCTTTTGCATTGTTACAGCTTAATTTTTATTTGAGTGATGTCCTAAATTGTTTCTCTCATCTCACACTCACTTTTTTTAAGTCAGAGACCAGCTTGATAGCAAACTTTGTGCATAGTTCTGTGTTGATCCGAGAAAATCTATTTTAGAAAATTCCAAGATCTAAAATCATACTACTTAAACCACATATGTTATGAGGCCTACATGTGCCCTTAAAATCTGAATCAATTGTATATTATCGTCTTTATTTCTAGATTCAGAGGTGTTTGGAATTTTTCTTTATGCTTAAGTATAATGAAAGGGGAAAGGATTATATGGGAAGTTTTAGTTTGTCTTAGAAAATGCTGATGTTAAAACTTACCACAATTTGTGGCATCATATTAGTCATTGAATAATTTCAGTATTGTTTCTGGAGATGTATTATACAGAAATACTAATTTTTCCTCTTTTCTCCCCCTTCTCAGCCATCTGTTGAATCTTCAAGTCCAGGTAAGTATTTTCCATATTTTTTATGATCTCCGTTTGACTAACATTTGTCCTATTAGTTGCATAAAGGCTAGAGGAGTTAGACTATTATCTGACTTGCTTTTCTTCTGAATGCTTCTTTTCTCTGGGGAAAAAGAAATGGATGAAATGTTTGACTGCCCATGAAAGTACAGGTGAGGCTGCTGTGAGTTCATCCTAAAAATGATGATTTTGGGGTTTTTTTTTTTTTTTTTGGTGAGTTGTGAGTTGCCATATGTGTTTCTCACAGTTTAACATTGTTGTTTGATTTGTAGTGTGTGTATGTATATATATATACATATATATATGTGTGTGTATATATATATATATATATATATATATATATATATATAAAGTGCACTTTTTAAAAAGAAATAATTAGCTTAGAAATATTTGCTTGTTTAGAAATTTCCAAGTATTTTTATTTGAGAAAAAATTTTAAATGCATTTACAGAGGCAGGGTAAAAATAAAGTAAGCAAAAGATTCAACACGTGAATATTTAACGTAAATAAAGAATGTTCTAAATAAGGAAATTATTCTTCAATTTGAATAGGATCAGGTTTTATGTTCTGACCACACATCTAGGATTTTTGTATTCTTTCTCAAATACAGTACATATATTTTTTTCCTTAGCGATTTCAAACGTGTGATCTTTGAATCAGATCTGTGCCACAAATATTTTTTTTGTTTGGTCACCGTAGTGATCTTTGTAAGTATGAATATTTTAAATATAAAATCTGGATTTAGGGTTCCCATGGTCTGGCACCACTGGGTACAATATTCCTACATGGCAGTAATTCATTGGCGTTAAAGCAGTGAGGAGAAAGTTAAGTACTTATCTTTTAGCCTCAGTGTTCAGTGACTATCAAGAGAAATGAGACTGCCTTCTTCCTGGCTGGGATATGTGAGTTAAGGTGTAGTCAAGTACAGAAGAGTAAGAAAGTGAACCCTCTGAGAAATGGGACTGCCTTCTGCGTGGGATATGTGGGTTAAGTAGTCTAATATAGAAGAGTTAGAAAGTAAACCTTCTGAGGCATAGTAATGTTTTATTCGAAAATATCTAACGTGTAGAACACTTAGATGTGATACATGCTATATTACTGAATTTTCCAGATTACTGAAGCAGTCACCTTTCTGTGTTTTAAGTTTTAGGAAGAAAGCTTTTAAAAATGCTTAACATAAGATAAGCCTGTTTTCATGGTTCAAGGTCCTTGCTGTGAACATGAATCTTTGCACTCTTTGAGGGTTGGACTACATCATGTCCATATCCCTTTTAAATGACTAGGGTGCTCAGTTGACAGTTGATTTTGTACTTTTGATTTCAGTTGGAAGTATCTTACTCTTTTTAATATGCTTGAGAGTAAAGTACATTAGGCTTTGTGCATTTCCGAAGCTCAATAATTTTTTTTAACTTTGTTTTATAAATACTTCCTGGATGTAAGTTAAGATTGGAAGTAATCCGACCTTGGATAAGTGTTAGATCACCATATTCATTTTTAGGACTTGGAATTGTTTCCAGTTTTTTTTTTTTCAAACACAGAAATTGTTTTCATAGAAAACATACGTCCTACTTGATTTTTATAGTATTGTGATACTGCAGATAAAACAGATTTAGATATTTCTGATGAATTTTTGAGGCATTCATCCGATAGTACATAGATATATAAAATAATTACTCTGAAAGCGATATTAATAATGGCTTTCTCAGTTTCCATTACATTTGAGTCAGCCTAGGCTGAAATGGAAGAATAATGGAGTTTGAAGGATACAAATGTTGTCCAGACACAGTGGCTCACGCCTGTAATCCCAGCACTTTGGGAGGCTTAGGTAGGTAGATCACTTGAGGTCAGGAGTTTGAGACCAGCTTGGCCAACATGGTGAAACCCTGTCTCTACTAAAAATACAAAAATTAGCCGGGCATGGTGACACATGCTTGTAATCCCAGCTGCTTGGGAGGCTGAAGTGGGTGAATCCTTTAACCTGGGAGTTAAAGGTTGCAGTGAGCCGAGATCATGCCACTGCTCTCCAACCTGAGCTATAGGGTTAGACTCCATCTCTCAAAAAAAAAAAAAAAAAATCTTTGATGACCTTGCTATGTGTTGAATACTTAACAGATTGAATGTTTATATTTCTTTAGCTTGTTTTCAGACTGAGATAGATCTTTTGAGTTAGACAGTATTTGTCATATGAGGCTTCTGCTCAGGGCAGTATTTATTGTTGTTATAAATAATGCTAGTTATAGGCAGTTATAAAAATTGGCAGAGAAAATTGGAATAGTCATGTAAAAAAATTTTTAGTCCTCTGGTAAAAAGGCTATATCCTTTGTAGCATCTGTACTTTGCAGTCAGTGCTAGTAATAATAGTCATATGACCACATTAATTGGTTTGTCTGTAGTCTCCACCAGTGTAAGCCGAAGTAGAGGCACAATGTAAGGCTTTTTACCTGTAAGACTAGTAGCCATTAGAGGTGAGGGATTAATGGAAATGAAGATAATTTAAAAAGCGAGTAGGTGAGTAGACATGATATAAACTGAATTTATCTTTGAAAAGATGTAAGGTACCTTTTCTGCAGTTGGATAGGATTTCATGACAAAGCAATGACGTTTGCCTAATTCTGATACAAAATACTTGATTTATACAAAGCACCAGGCCCCTTACCCCCAGTGATTTATTTTTGGGATATTTTTTTCCCTAGGAGACATCTTAATGGTGGGCCTACCTAGTGACAGAAAGGAATAAGATGGTTAGTTGGTTCTAAGGAACAAGCCAAAAAGAAGTTGGATAAAACAGGTCAGATGAAGGAGAGAAAAAAACTGAAAATTGAAAGTTTATAGAAAACAGCGTATTATGCATGTGGGGAGAGGAATTGGAGTGAAACAGGAGTAGTTTATCTACACTTTGTTATTTGATGTACTAAGGGAGTGAAGTGGCAAGCCTTCATATGTAATTGGCTTTGTGAATAATAAAAAATAGACTTCAGGTGTGTTATAACACATGATTTGATGCAGCATACCCATGAGCTTGAATTTTTTTAAAAGTCAATCAAGTATAACAAGGAATTAAGCATAATTATTTTTGATAATACCTGTGTCCAATTAGAATTATATTCTGATTGGGATAATAGTATACAAACACATAGTGTGAGGATTTTTTAGGGTCTTTCTTCCTAAAGGGAGAAAAGTAAAGCATCATTTGTAGGAATTCGTATTACTGACTATTCAGTATCGCAGAAGATTCCTGGGTGAACTGAAAAGTTTGAGGAAAGTTTTCTCTTGAAAACTCAGAAAAGGTTTGGGACAGAAAACTACACCTATATTAATGTTTCTCAAATTGTGCTTCTATAAAACCCTTGTGTCCATTCCCTCAAGTAGTACTAAGATGCTCTACTAAAATTGTGCTAAGCTCTTCTTAGTTTCTGGAAGAAAATTAAGATACGCTTTTCTAAAAGTTTTTATTTTGTAGATTACTCTAAAACTTTTATAAGTGTTAATAACTCATTTTACTATAATCTGGTATAAGATATCTGACTTGGCATATAATTATGTTTTTAGTTATTTTCTATTTAACATCAGTATTTTCTTTTTTGTTTTTTAATAGAGGTAAGGTCTTGCCCAGGCTTGCCTTGAACCCGTGAGCTCAAACAATCCTCCTGCCTTGGCCTCCTTAAGTGCTGGGATTACAGACATGAACCACTGAGCCTGGCCTCATATCAATATTTTCTATGCTTCTCAAAGGGCACAATGATTTTAAGTGCTTTGCCATCTGACCCGGCTTGCATTCACTCATCTTAGTACATAGGCTCTCCTTAAGTATTCTTTGAAGTAGTATAATAAAAATATTTACAGGAGGCTTGGAGTACAATAAAAGCATGGCTGTTGGGATTAGTATACTCAGGATTCAGATTCCATCTTTGCTGTCTACTGACTTTGTGAGTTTAGACTTGCCACTTAAACTTTCTAAGCCTTGAGTTTTTATTTTCCTCTTTAAATGGGGTGATAATACCTACTTCATAGGATTGTTTGAAGATTGCTTGAGATAATGTATATGACATGCATGAGCATATTATCTGGCACATAGTAAATACTCAAAAAATGATTCTTTTGAAAATTGTGGGAAGTAACAGAAGAACCCTGAGCCTTGGGCACTCCCTTATTCAGCTTTATCTCTTTGCTTTACTTATTGTTTCTCGTTCTGGAATAAAATGAAAGGATAGGTACATCTGTTAATATATAACCGTCAACAGTTAAAACTTTAAAAATTGCCAAATTTTTTCCACGTTCAGTGACTCATTTGTTTATTAGTAAACAATGCTTTTGCAAATCTAGGTCCTCATTGGCAATGGTAAAATATGGAGATATTTTACAGAATATGTATGCCCAGCCTTCACATACTACTATTAAAAAGCTTAACCCTGTTGGGTTCAGCAATATTCCCCAACCACCGGGCTAAAAACAGATTACCTCACATGTCAGTTACCTACTAGCTTATTTTGAATGCCTTTGATAAGCGTTCTGTTTGCAGTTTTAATAAGCTTTGCTTTTCTACTCAGCCTTTTGAGTTATTTCTGATAAAAATCAACTATGTAAGTTAAGGACAGCTACTAAAATATTAGATTTTTTTTTTTTTTTTAAGTCAGGGCCTTGCTCCGTCTCCCAGGCTGGAGTGCAGTAGTGTGATCATGGCTCACTGTGACCTTGACCTCCCCAGCTTAGGCAGTTCTCCTGCCTCGGCCTCCCGAGTAGTGGGATGACAGGTGGACAGCAACACGCCCAGCTAATTTTTAAATTTTTTGTAGAGGTGGGGTCTCATTATGTTGCCCAGGCTGGTCTCAAACGTCTAGGCTCAAGTGATCTTCCCATCGCAGCCTCCCAAAAGTGCTGGGATTAAAGAATGAGCAACTACATCCAGCCACTAGAATATATTTTCAAGGAAGTACTTAGAGAATAATAGTATTTGAGTGCAGCTGTGTCTTCACTAGACTGTATTCAGATGACTGTATATTTCACATGATTATACAGTCATCCCTTGATATCTGTGGACCTCCCTTAGATAACAAGATCATGGATGCTCAAGTCCCTGATATGAAATGGCATTGTATTTGAATATAACCTATGTGCATTCTCTTACATACTTTAAATCATCTCTGGTATATCTATAATGCCTAATATATGTAAATGCTATGTAAATAGTTACACTGTGTTGTTTGGAGAATAATGACTAGAAAAAAGCCTGTACATTTTGAGTACAGACAAAGGTTTCTTATTTTTATTTTCTGAATATGTCAGTCTACTGTTGGTTGAATCCACGGACACAGCAACCATGGACATGGAGGGCTGACTTATATTCTCCTTATGGGCCAGAGGAGTTCATACTCATTGGGTCTATCAAACATTAATCAAATGGTTAAAAATTGTGATTTTTAGGGCCAGGTACAGTGGCTCACACCTTTAATCCCAGCACTTTGGGAAGCCAAAGCAGGATGATTGCTTGAGCCCAGGAGTTCAAGACCAGCTGGGGCAACATAGTAACACCCTGCCTTTACCAAAAAAATATTAAAAAATTAGTTGGGGGTGGTGGCTATAGTTCCAGCCACTTGGGAAGCTGAGTTAGAAGGATTGCTTGACCCCAGGAGGTCGAGGCTGCAGTGAGCTCTGATTGCATCACTGCACCCCAGCTTGGGACAGAGTGACACCCTGTCTCAAAGAAGAAGGAAAAAAAAAAGAATTGTGACTTTTTTCCCACACGAAAAGTCTGTTCTTATTTGATATGACCATTTATTATTTACAGCTTATTTCATATTTATTACATTATAAACACTTTTAAAGCTATAAACATTTTCCCCGTTTTGCTGTTGTAACTATGAATATATAGGAGTGAGAAGACAAAAAATAATCCCTTTGAAGAGTTTTGTTTTTGTTTTTGTTTTTTTGGTGGTGATGAATAAGAGGAAGAATTTTAAAAACCAATATATAATAGTTGCTGCGTATAGCTTTTTCTTGGTGCTTTTGATTTATATCCAGCTTCAAATTAATAAAAATGTATACACTAATGTTAATAAGATCCATTTAATTTGGTTTACCAAACTTTGTGAAATATTCCTTACCAGGGGGTTCAGCAACATCGGATGACCATGAGTTTGATCCATCAGCTGACATGCTGGTTCATGATTTTGATGATGAACGAACATTAGAAGAGGAAGAAATGATGGAAGGAGAAACTAACTTCAGTTCTGAAATAGAAGATCTTGCAAGGGTAAATAACATTTAGAGCTAGGGCATGAATTGGTTATGACTTTTTTGTGGAAAGGGAAAATTTGAAATTTTGAGTCTGGTTTAGAAGAGAAAATTGTGTTATATATCAACTATACTGAAAAATTCTATGTGATCATAGGTGGAATATTTAAAATTTGAAATGAAAGGCTTTTAAAAACAATAACTTTATTACGTGAAGTAACAGAATTCACATAGTTGCTTTGGAAAACGGATTATTAAAGGATTCTGCTATAAAAGGTGGTCTGGTAAAAAATGAACTATAAAAGGATTCTACATTGCTGCTTATATACCATCCCCAGTTACTGTATCTTTTACTTATTCTCCTTCAGAGCCAAAAATGTCTTACCATTTCCTCATTTTCCATTCACTACACAAAGTGCTCTAGATTATCTCCACCTCTTCCTATCAAAGTCACCAGTGACTGTCCTTGTTATATCCATTGTTAACATTCACTTTTCTCTCTCTAGTTTACTTTTTCTCAGCAGTATTCAATGCAGTTTAACACTCTCTTCTTTTACTTTAATTCTGGAGTACACTACTGTCTGGTTTTCTTTATTCTTTTTGTTCCTATTCAGTATCTTTTGCAGACTCTTCTTCCTTTATTCAAGATTTACATGTTGGCAGTATTTAATTCTCAGTTTGGACCTTTTTTTCCTCTCCTGTTTCTGTCTGGATCAGTGCTCCTCAAAATGTAATATGAGGGTCAGCTGCATCAGAATTACCTGTGTACTTATTTTAAAAAGCAGAGTTTTAGACCTCTCCCCAGGCATACTGAATCAGAATCTCTGGGGGTGGAGTTCAGATCTACATCTTTGTTAAATAACTTGGCATTATATGTACACCAAATTTGAAAATTACTATACTGTGTGATTTAATTTATTCCCATGGTGTCTATATGCTCAGTATTCTTTAGTTTGTATTTCTAGCATTAACCTGTTTCCTGTCTCCAGTTTTATCTACCTTGATGTTTCTACAGACATCTCTAATTTATAAATGTCCAAAACAGAACTATTGACTGTTTTTTCTCTACTTGTTCTTTCTCTGTCCTCTCTATCAGTAAAAAGTGGCACTGCTATTTACCCTGTTGCCTAAGTCAGAAACCAGTGAGTCATTTTCCTTTTCTTTCAATATCTTATTTGTAAAATCTATTATTTCTATCCACAAAAATATCCCTTAGCCGACTCTCTTGCTCCACTGCTGCCTAGGTTGCCATTATTTCTAGCCTAGACTATTGCAATAGCTTCCTAACTAGTTTCCCCATTTCCTCTTTTATCATCTTTCTCCTGATAAACTTCCACCTAGCAGCTATGATGTTCTTATCAAAATGTAAATCAATTTATATCAACCTCCTGGCTTCCTGTTATAGCCAAAGAAAACCCAAACCTCTCAACCAGGCCAGCAAGGCCACCTTCATGATAATGGCCTCTCATCCATGTGTCACACCACCTCTGTTATGCTGTAGCCACACTAGCTACTTTTGTTGTTAAATAAGCAAGTTTCTTCCTGCTTCAAGGATTTTCAGCTTATTCTAACTCTGGTATATGCATCCCAAGGCTGGCTCCTTATCCTCTGGTTTTGGTGTTGCCTCCTCAGAATAGCAGCCTTTCCTGCCTCCTAATTAGCTTTTAATTAATTTTCGTTTTGTTTTGTTTTGCCACTGTATCCTATTCAATTCTTTCTTTAGTGTTAGGACACAATTTGTAATTGTTTCTTTAATTTATTTTCTGTACCTCCCTTGGTTTTGTGAGGATAAAATGAAATAAAATGACTGTGTTATTCACCAGCATATTTCATAGTACCTTGCAAGAGTGGTCACTCAAAAGTATTGAATGAATAAATGGATAAATCAGTCTGGAATGTTCTAATAAAATTTATCATGCATATGATTTCCTGTACTCCCATGATAAAAAAGAACATAAGAAGTAAGACATATATAATGTCATGGAAATGAATGCTCATACTTTTATGGTATTAAAGACTTATGACTCATAATTTTAGTTTGTAACTTTTTAAAGTATACATTTAGAGCTCAAAAAGGAGTTCTATTAATATGTATCCAAGTCTTGTCAGTTCATCCCATTGTGGGATTAAAGCTGGCTTTGGGATTAGATTATTTAGCGATTACAGCTGACTTAATCTACTATGTCTGAATAATTTAATATGTCAAAGGTATATATTGGTTATCACAAAAGTCTTTGAAGAATGGGTTAAAAAGCACATGAAGGGCTGGGCATAGTGGCTTATGCTTGTGATATCAGTAATTTGGAAGGCCAAGGCAGGAGGATTACTTGAGGCCTGGAGTTCAGGACCAGCCTGAGCAACATAACGAGACCCCCATCTCTACAAAAATATTTTTAAAAAATTAGTTAGGCATGGTGGCACGCACCTTGTAGTCCCAGCTACATGAGGCTCAGGTGGGAAAATTGCTGGCGCCCAGTAGTCCGAGGCTGCAGTGAGCTATGATAGCACCACTGCTCTCCAGCCTGGGTGACAGAATAAAAATGGCGCTGCTATTTACCATTTTATTTTTCAGAGACTGTCTCTCTGAAAACAGGGCACTTGAAGAACTTGGAGTCATAGCTATTCTTTAAAAGTAGAAAGCTGGGAAGCGATTCAGAAGACAGTTATTGTTTACTTGGATGATTCAGAAGCTAGATTGATTTAACAATCACAGTCACTTCAAGTATTTGTGAATTTTGCCTATATTCATGGAGGCATCTATCACTTCAGATATATTTTTTCCTTCTGAATAACCATCTGTGGGATAAAAGGTAAAGAAATAAAATCTTGTATTTTCTGTCTTATATTCTGTATTAGCTCAGATACTAATTAGAAAGAGGAAGTAATCAAATACAGTTTTCACAGTGGGTTTTGAGTTAAAATGATGGTGCTTTTTTTTTTTATTTCGGAAAACAAGATATTTATTACATTTAATTAGTAGAAAATTCCTAATGGGCTGTGTGAAATTTTGGTTATATCATTGCCTTTTCCTGTTTCTCTCTCCTCCTTTCCTTAGCCCCATATAATGCCCGAAAACTTGCTTTTAGGGCTGGGCGCAATGGCTCATGCCTTTAATCCCAGCACTTTGGAGGCTGAGGCAGGCAGATCATGACGTCAAGAGATCAAGACTATCCTGGCCAACTTGGTGAAACCCCATCTCTACTAAAAATAAATAAATTAGCTGGACA